GGTTCTCTTAGCTGGCATACTTCACATCACAATGAAAAAAGAAGTAACCTTCATAAACAAAACAAAGTTTGGAAGAGAAATGAAGATTATGATGAGGATATAAATGCAAATGATGGTGACATGACTGAAGATTTTGTGAACTATGCAGAGGCTGAGCTGTCTGAGGATTCAGAAGAATTTAAGCAATTGGTACATGAAGCATTTTTAACGTACTCTAGAAGATTAAACTTGAACCAGTCTGTTCGTAGAAGATACAAGGAGCAAGGACATGCTGGTAGTTTGTTCTGCATTGTTTGTGGTAGAAGGTCTGTTTTCCTTTTCTATGACATGCATTTTAAAGAGGGGCATATATTTTCATGTAAATCTTTTCTTGAATGAGGATTTTAGCCCTAAAGGTTCTGTCAGTTGGTTTTCCTAGGATGGTTTTATGGCCATTTGAATATTTTGGAACTAGCAAAATCATACCTGTTTTTTAGTTATTTAAGCAATTATATTAAGGTTTTTTCTTCTGGCCATACAGTTTGTTCATTACATGGTAACTAGACGTATTATGATGGCTGGTCATAAACAACTTTATTTCAGGGTTTAATATCGTTTGGTTTGTTTCTGAGAAGAAATAGACTAGTAGACCGAGAAATGATGGTTAATATTATTAGCAATTTGCAGGTTTCATATAATGTAATAATTTATAAGGTACCAGCTGGTGAATGCCGAGCATATGAATATGTTGAATACCATGCAACCTTAGATATGGTAAATGCTTTTGTGCACTAACTGGCTTTCAGCATTTGTGGCCAAAGAATGCTGAAAGGGCTTGCTTGCTGTTGATGGGACCAAGGCATTTAGTTTTATCAATTTAAGCTTCATTCAGTGAGGTTTGAAATTTCCTGGTTCAGATGACATTTCTGTGTAGCCCTATAAGTGAGCTAACTGCGAAAGTTGGTTGATTTCGTTATTTCAACTGGAGGACTTTTAAGAAGTCTGAGGATTCTTTTAAGTGCTAATATGGAGAACTTCTCGGCGTCATTGTGGATATTGGATAGAACTTATTGCATTCGTTGCTCATGATTGATTTATGAGAAAAAACTGCTTGTTTTCAGCAACAGGCACCTCAAATGTTTGGTTTGAGCACTTAGTTCTTGCTCTTTCAGAATCCTTGGATGTTGTTAAGGAGCAAGGTTAGTACACCCTTATGTCTGCTAGAGGGACTTCGGTAATCTGAATGTAAGACCTATTAGATAAGGATTTAATAGGCAATTTGAGTGACCGATTGAGTGGTAATTCATTTGTCTGTGGAGTGGTAATTCATTTGTCTGTGGCAGATAGGATGATAGTGAGCCTCTGCCAGTCAATTATGCTGCTACTTGCTTTTAATGGAGAGGTCCTTGATGGAGCAGGTCTAAATAGCAGTGTAGATGGGCAAATCAAAGAGAGAAAAATCTGAGTGGTCCATATCATGTTAGACATAACCTATGTTCTGCAAATAACTTTGTAAAAAGTGTGTATTATTTTGTTTTCCATGGTTTTAAACAGCAATGTCTTGTAGCTTGCTAAATATTGATATCAATTATCCATCTTGGTTCTGATAAAGTCTTCATTTTCAGTCTTCATCTTTTGGGTTCAGGTTATTTCAGATTTAGGTCTGTTTTAGGTTATGGTGGTCAGGATTTTCAGTTTGGTTCATTTTGGGTTGTCATTCAGGTTTGATACTCAAGTTCAGATCATTTCAGGTTAATTGTTTGGGTCATTTTCGAGTTCGGCTTGGTGTGGTCTTAATTTTTTATGGTCAATCAGGTTCCTGATTCGGGTTAATTTCGTTCTGTTTTACGGTTGGGTTAGAATTGATAAGTCCAAATATACCCCTCAACTTATTGTTGAATCTGGGTGAAAAATGTAACCCATTTGAAGGTAGGTCACTTTTTGACCCAAGTAAAGGTGAGTTTAGGTTTCGGAACATCATTTCCTATATTTCTAGTTACTGCAGGAAAATTGGTCTGAGATACAATGGATGGGAACTGGATGTTACTTTTATGTTCTTGATTTTGATTTCATTCCATCTGATCTGATTGGATACTGATTGTTTTTTTTCTTTCTAATGGCCCAGTCGAATCATTGTATCCTTTTTAAAATTAATTACCATTGATGAATGATGAATCTTCCTCTCTCTCTCTCTCTCTCTTGCTGTCCTTTATTCTTACATCTTTCCTTTTACAGTTATTCAAAGGAATTCATGGACACCCAACGCCTGGTGACCCATGCTTTCATGTCTCACAAGGTGGGGCTGAGGGCAGAGCATTTAGGTCTTCACAAAGCAATATGTGTGTTGTTGGGATGGGACAGCATAGCACCTCCTGACACTATAACATGGGTTCCCCAGGTCTTGCCTGAAGCTGAAGCCTTGGCTCAGAAGGAGGATTTGGTTCTCTGGCCTCCAATGGTTGTCATCCACAATATTTCTATGGCAAATAACAATCCTCAAGAACAGATGATTGTTCCAATAGAAGGCGTGCAGGCTTTTCTGCGAGGTAAGTACTTGACTGTCAAATTTGCATGATAATTTGTTTAGTAAAAGGTTTAATGTATTTCGTTCGAATTGTTCCAAGAGTGGAACATAAAAAATGGATGTTTGATGCCCTGCTAATATCAACCAACAAAAATGAAAAGCAAAATATACTAAGAATAGATGAAAGTTTTAAGTTGAATTGGCTGTGCATATGCTCTACGAGTAAATGGAATTAATCATAATGTTAAAAGCTTTTTACTTGCTGGTGAATATGAAAGACTTTCTTTGACCAGAAGCTTCCTCTTCTTGGTCCTTGAATGATGATAGATAAAGGCTTTGTTGGGGGGAAAATCAGCGTGTGCCTAGGTAGACCTGCAGACCAAAGTATTATGTTGGTGAAGTTCTTAGGCACATTCACTGGACTGGCAACGGCAGAGAGACTTCATCAATATTTTGTTGAGAAGAAGCACGGGAGAATCGAATTTACATCAAAAAATAATGGCGAAAATAGCATCGAGGAAATGGGTGACAATCTGGAGGAGCAGCTTCTTTATGGTTATATGGCAATTTCAGAGGACTTGGACAAACTTGACTTTCATAACAGGAAATGGAGTGTGGTAAAGAGCAAGAAGGAGATCCTGGACTTGGCTAATGATCCTGTCAAGACTGATGAAAGGTAGCTTTTTATAAATTATTGGCCTTGAAACATTTTTTTTAATTCATGTCTAAAAAAGTGATTGGTTAAACCTTTGTTATCTGCTAGCTTTGTACCGTCTGTAATCATAGTATCATGAGACTATTAATGTGAACATTTAGTATAAGATTGCTATATTTTACTCTACTTTTCTATCTGTTGCCTTGGTCTTATTTACATGTTAAATTCTATTATGGCACTAAAGAAGAGGGTGAATGTTCGATAGAGACGAGTCAAAATATTTTCGTTTACGAGTCTTATTTTATAACTTAAATTTTATTTGAAAAATTTTGGAATCGAGTTATTCTATTTTCTGTTTAAATTTAATTGTTAATATTTATAATATTATAGTAGTATTTGATTTCAATTTAAACAATTTTCTATAATCATATACAATATGTATATATTTCTTCATATGTGATATGTATATACCATATGGCGTTGAACGACTCGAATTTGAAAATCAATATATTAATTATTTAAAATTTTGTGTTTTTCGAGTTATATTTTATAAATCGATTTGAATTTGATTTTTTTTAATTGAGTCGAGTTTAAAGAGTAACAAGTCGAGTTAAACAATAATTTTTTTAACAAATATGAGTTGAGTATTGTCTTACTTGCGATTAACTTACGATTGTTGAATAAATCTTAATTTTATTAATTTTTGGATATGATAATGATAATTTTACTTTTATATATAAATAACTATTAAAATAATATCTATACTTTTCCCGCATGTTAGGCTGTCCCTTTCCGATCTTGGAAAAGGGCGGAGCAGTTGCACCCGGGAGTTGTTGAATGGAAGTTTCTGTATTTTTTGGTGTTTAAAATTTTTAGATATTAAATTGTCGGCTCATATAGGATCTATTAAGTTTGTGTATGTGTATCTGTAAATTAGATATCTGTAAAATTAAATGTTATGGTAGAATAATTTAAAATTTTTAAATTTAGAATGTTAGGGTAAAATAGTTTGAGAATTGATAATGAAAATTTTAATATAAAATAAAAGTAAAATATATAAAAGAATCGAATACCTATTGATCCGACAGGTTGGAAATTGCGGCCTATGGCCTAACTTGTGATCTGTTAAAATAACGAGTTAGATACCCGACCTGAGAATTCAAATATTTTTTTAAAAAATACTCGATTATTTTTATCTAAGTCGACGAGTCAAAGAATTAGATATATTAAATTGAGTAATTTTGGATACCCCTAAATATCACAACATTATTCAAGAAAAATTATATGAAAATTTTAGAAATAAATAAAAAAGAATAATTAAGATTTTTGTTTAGAAATAAGATAAAATATCATCTATAATCAGACAACACATGTTCATCTTAATGTTTTGTTCGATTTTAAGATCTTAACATATTGAATTCGGATAATTCTATAATACAATCTAAAATTTAAGTATAGATTTTAAAAAATACTTTTAAAATAAGTTAAAATATTTAATATTTAATATTATTAATAAAAGAAAATAATAAATATTAAAAATGATTAAGATAAGATACATAACTATACGTAGTCCCAGCACTCTACCCTTTCAATTTTTTATCATTAAAAAATATATAAAGATAAATATTTATGTAGACCTTCAAATCTTGATATATTTTATTTTATTCATTTAAATTTTTATTATTAATTATATTTTATCTTCTGAAACTAAAATCCTAAAGTCTTAAGAATTATTAAAATGGGAGGGAATAAATATTTATTTAGTTGCCTTTTATTAAAATTATTATTACTGTCTAATATAAATTCAGACATCTTTTTCTTTCTATCGGAAAAGGAAAGTAGTTTTAAAGGGAGGGACAGTTTTGTAAATTCATATAAGTACATTCCTACATCTTCTCCCTCATCTCGATTACCAAACTCTCTCTCTCTCTCTTCTACGCAATGTCCGCAACCGCCACTCGCCTCCGACACCTTGCCACCGCCGCCACAGCTGCAGTAGCAGTTACTGCATGCGGTGGCGCAATCCTTTTAACTCCATCTGTATCTTCTAATGACCGGGCCAGTGGCCACGCGACCGTCGAGTCCCTGAGGCGAACAATTATTGATCCGAGCGCCGTCGTTCCTTCCCGCGCTGCCCAGGAATCGACCCTGATTGCTGCCAAATCTGGTAATCCATTCGACATCCTGGTCGTTGGCGGTGGTGCCACCGGTTGCGGTGTTGCTCTGGACGCCGCCACAAGAGGCCTCCGTGTCGGCCTCGTCGAGCGAGAGGATTTTTCCTCCGGAACGTCTTCGCGGTCCACCAAGCTTATTCATGGAGGTAAGCATGAATATTCATGCAAATTGACTTTTTAATTAATAAATGTCGCATTTTCTTCTCTTTTTTTCTTCTGTAAATTCTCCGTTTGATATGTAAATGGGCTTTAGTAAATAAATTGAGAACAAGAAGAAACTTCAAGCTGATTGAAGCGATCATATATGCAATCTCAAGATTCCTGGTTTTCAACTTCGATTGTTGTTGACGACGTCAAATCTGAAATGATGATCGCATTGGATTCGAAATATCTAAGTGAGAAAAAGGGAAATTCTATTTCACTCTGCGAAGAAGATATTAGTTAGTGTATTTTTTCAACTTTTTTTTTTCACTGAGGGAGCGTAGATTTTAAATGCATATACGTTGATTAGTTCTGTACTTCTGTTAAAAGTTTTTCTTCAATATTTCTGTAACGTATTCTCTATCAAATATCAATTACACTTGTATGAATTTACTATAAAAAATTTCCTTTTTAAAAAAAAATTAAAGTAGATTTCTTTTCTATAACGTCAAAGTTTTCCTTCCAGTTGAATTATTTAAAATGCTTAAGATGGATGTCATGTCATAGTTTTGTTGTTGCCTTTAGAATTGACATTTAAACATATTTCATGAAATATGTACATTAGGCTAATTTCTTTTCTTCTTGATAAGCTTGTTTCAGTTTTTCGGCTAATCCATTTGTTCAATTATGGTAGGAGTCCGCTACTTGGAGAAAGCTGTCTTTAACCTTGACTATGGGCAGTTGAAGCTGGTTTTCCATGCACTTGAGGAGCGTAAACAAGTTATTGAGAATGCTCCTCATCTTTGTCATGCCTTGCCATGCATGACGCCCTGTTTTGACTGGTTTGAGGTAGTATACTACTGGATGGGCTTGAAAATGTACGATCTGGTTGCTGGAAGACGTCTTTTACATTTGTCCAGATATTATTCTGCACAAGAATCTATTGAACTCTTCCCCACACTTGCTAAGAAGGGCAAAGATAAAAGCTTGAGGGGCACAGTTGTGTACTATGATGGTCAGATGAATGACTCACGCCTAAACGTTGGATTAGCTTGCACTGCTGCACTTGCTGGGGCAGCAGTGCTTAACCATGCAGAAGTTGTATCCTTTATTAAAGAGGAAGATACGCAGCGGGTAATTGGTGCAAGAATTCGTGACAACCTGTCAGGTAGCTGGCATATCCATTCTTGAAAAAAAATTCACATAAATGATAACCAATTCAAGCTTACAACAATTTGTGTCTCTGGCTTGATTTGTTTGTTTCTGTCCAGCCTCTTCATGAAACATTAAGTTTGAAATGGTAGGAGAAGAAATAAAGAAAAAAATAATAGAAGAAGACAGGCCAAAAGTTACCATAAGATTAAAGTACTTGTTAATGGCATTCTAGCAGTGAACCGAGATGCATTTGATACCTATGTTCGATATGCACTATTCACACTTATGTCTTGAAAATATGAATCAGCTTTCTATTCAAGCAGTTGATTGAGATGTTCCCCATTTGAATTCCTTTTAGTTAATTTGTTCTAGTTAGTCGTGCCTTGAACGCATTAATCACCTTTTTGTTATCACCGTTTAATTTCTGTGTGGTTAACTTGCTCTAGTTAGTTTTGCCTTAATGCATTAGTCACCTTTTAAACCCTTGAATGTGTTTCATTAGACTGTTTCCTTATTCATAAAATGATAAGACAGATTGAGATATAATTTTCAAAATTCCTTAATTCTTAGAATCAACAACCAATAGTGCAGGGGTACGATTGTGGCTTAAATTGCCCCTAAGCGGAAGTTTCTTTGATCAAACTTCAAGGCTTTCCATTCAAATTATATACTGTAATTTTTCATAGAGCTTTGATATGATTAAATTGTTAAAAGATGTCCAACATTCTTTAGATGAGGGTGCTGTATGATTGGAATTAATTAATTTTATCTTCAAGTTTATACAATTCATTATTCAATTTTTACATTTTAAATAAGTGACAATCCTAGTTAAACATCTCTATGTTTCATTTGTTTATTTTGGCTTATTTCATGCCCTGCAAGGTTGAAGCATTTTCGAAATATTATTATTTCTTATTTTGTTACCCAGATGAAGAAAAGGATTAACACATAAGGACTAAACATCTGCTTCCATTTTTTCTTCCTTCAAAATTAAGCTTATTGCTGCATATGTACATTGATGGAGTTAGGTAGCGTGCCTGGTAATCTGTTTGATCCTTTTGCTCATTATAATATAAACAGGACAGGAGTTTGACACCTATGCAAAAGTTGTTGTGAATGCGGCTGGACCATTTTGCGACTCTTTAAGGAAAATGGCCAATAAAGATGCACTGCCTATGATATGTCCTAGCAGTGGTGTGCATGTTGTTCTCCCAGATTACTATTCTCCAGAAGGAATGGGCTTGATTGTCCCTAAAACTAAGGATGGACGAGTTGTCTTCATGCTTCCATGGTTGGGGAGAACTATAGCTGGCACTACAGATTCTAGTACTTCCATCACCCCACTTCCAGAACCACATGAGGACGAAATTCAATTTATACTTGACGCGATCTGCGATTACCTTAATGTCAAGGTATAACTTGGTTTTATCAATATTTAGTACTTTGACTTTGTTTTTCTACATTATTTTTCATTCAATCACATATTTTTTTGGTAAATAGTTCAGACCATTTTTTTAATTAATTTATGGTGGAAAACATTAGGTACGACGTACAGATGTTCTTTCTGCCTGGAGCGGTATCCGTCCATTGGCTGTTGATCCTAATGCAAAGAGCACCGAGAGCATTTCTAGAGATCATGTTGTTTCCGAGGAATATCCTGGTTTGGTAACAATCACTGGTGGGAAGTGGACTACTTATCGAAGGTAATATTTACTCAGGTTGTGCTAAATCTTCTTTTGGAGTAGCAACATATTCTGGGGGTTGTTTCCAATATACTTGCAAGTTGCAAGTATTAGTTGTGTTACAAGGGCTGAGTTAATCTTGCTGTACTACTGTTGAACTTATATAACATGAAGTGAAAATTTGGAGTGTAGTCCAACTATTGAATTACATGAAATAGTGATAGAAATACCCTGACTCTGAACTCCTTGATTTTCGAGCATGGTATCTTGTTCTATTGGTCTCTGTTTCCCTCTCTGTCTTCTTTCTGGCATGAGTTGTTGGGATTACTAAAACTAGTTTCAGCATGGCAGAAGATGCAGTTAATGCTGCTATCAAGTCTGGTAAACTGAGCCCAAGCAATGGATGTATAACAAGCAACCTGCGGCTGATTGGTGGAGATGGATGGGAACCCTCGCTTTTTACTGTTCTTGCTCAGCAATATGTACGCATGAAGAAGTCACATGGTAAAATTGTTCCTGGGGTGATGGACGCTGCTGCTGCAAAGCATTTGTCTCATGCATATGGCACCTTAGCAGAACGAGTGGCCTCCATAGCTCAGGTTGGTTTGCTATGCTCTCATAATCATAACTGTTAATTATGGGTCTTAATAGCGGTAGTGATGAGGTAATTCTGCATCTGTCTACTGCACATTGGACTTCGAGTATTGACAAATTTAAGGATTTTAGTGAATATTTATCTAACAACTCCACGTTAATCAAATGCAATAGCTTTCAAGGATCTTCATTTCAATACAATGTTAATTTGTTCTTCTTAGAGGGAGATAAATTACTGGAAATAAGCTAGGAATTATAGTCTTAGGCATTCTATGCAATTACTTGATGAGAGATGGAAATTTTACTTAAAAATGTCATGAATTTCTTCTCATAATTGATTTCTGGTGATAGTGCTTAGGGGTGAGCGTCGAGTTGACATGTCCTACTTTATCATCCTAACTCAATTTGAAAATTTTTCGAATCAATTCGAGTCGAATAAATTTATTTGAATTAAGTTAAAAAAAGTTGTCAAATAAAAACCGTTTCGACAATATGACTAAATTTTAAGCTAGAGAAAATAAATTTAACACAATATTATCTGAAAACTCTTTCAAAACAAAATAAGAAAAAAGATACTTTAATATGATAAACTTGATTTGATAATTTATTTTTTAAAAAGCCTTGAATTCATCATTCTGGGGAAAATATAATTTTTTAATAAAATAACAATTTTTGGAACTTTTATGAAATTTTGGAGATTTTTTATAAAAAAATCTTTTTGTATTTTTTGTTGCTAGATAACAATTTACACATTTTCAAAATTGACATGGACTCAAGGGGTATTTCAATTTGTTATTCTATTTAAACATGACTTGAACTACAAAAAAAAATCAAATAATTCAATTAAAAAAACTGAAATAACTCGATTCAGTTAACTCACAATTTGAATTCTTTTCTATTGTTTAAAGTTGAATCTAGTTTTACTCACCCCTAATAATGCTATGAGTCATGCATTAGTTTTATTTATGTACTGTATGATATTGTGAAATCTCAAGTGAGATTATGTTCCTTATCAGTGGGTGCTGACATGTCAAATTCTTCTCGATCATCAGGTTTCCATGCCTGTTCCTAATTTAAATGACAAGTTTGGATGCTACTAGGGATAGGACAGGCAATTGTGGAGCATTCATATACTCTTTAATTCTTCAGTTTCTGTGCATAACAAATTTATACACTAATTCTTGTCCTGTAAGTTATATAAGACTGCTATTTGGGCTTTGGTAAGAGTTTCGAATATGGTATGTTTCCAACAAGGGTATAATCAAATTATTTTCTTGAAGTGGTTTATGTATTTGGAGGATTTTTTTAAAGGTCATATCCCCTTGTTTTCATACGTGCAGACACGGTTGTTGAACACAAGTGCTTTAAAAAATGAAGAATCTGAACAACATAGATATAAGAACCTTATTTGTAATCAATCAAAGGAGCAATAGCCTCGTTAGCTTTGATAGAACCAATTCTATGACATAGTTTTAGTGCAAGAGTTTTGAATTCTCTTCCCGATTGGAAGTGCCATCGTCTAATCCAAAGACCTAGCGTACAGTTGCTTGGGATTATTTAAATGATTACGTTTTTTAATATAGCAAGTTATGTTTCTGAACTTGCAATTTTTAATGTCTTCTTGGTTAGTTAACAATTTCAAATCTGCATTTGAAATTCCAGGATGAAAATTTGGGTAAGAGGCTTGCTCATGGGTACCCTTATCTGGAGGCGGAGGTTGCATATTGTGCTCGAAACGAGTACTGTGAATCTGCGGTTGATTTCATTGCCAGGAGGTCTCGCCTTGCTTTCCTTGAAACCGATGCAGCAAGCCATGCCTTGCCACGCATTATCGAAATACTTGCTGTTGAGCACAATTGGGACAAGTCAAAGCAGAAGCAAGAAATGCAGAAGGCTAAAGAATTTTTAGAAACTTTCAAGTCTTCAAAGAATGCACAGTTCCATGATGGGAAGCATCAGTAGTAAGTATTATTTTCTATTCATGAATCCGTCGAAAGCCTTTCACTGCTTCTGGTACTACAGTACTGAGATGTTGCTGTTAACTTTGTTTCAGGTGTCTCGAGAGCAGTTTCGGAGTTCAGGGCTCTCTTTATTTTTTTTTACATATACAGGCGCATACATCTACGTCATTGAGCAAAGGAAGGATCGAATTGAACTTGATTGTGTAGAGCTTGCTCTGCATCGTTAATAAAGCAACTCTTTTAAGAGATTGCCAGTTCACAGGACCTGGTATAAAGGTTTCGGACATGTTCCCCTGTTCCAGGTTTCTAATTGGTAAATTATTTTATCTTAATTGACAATCCCTTCATTTTATGCTTAAAAGCTGTTTCTCTCCAATTCATACAAAAATTTAATTCATTTGTTCAGGTATCTGTCTATTTACATGTGCACTGTTTTCATTCTCGATCATCATGGAAACTTTGAATTATGTGCCATTTTGCTTTGCATCACAAGTTATTTCTGAATTTGAAAATTAAATATCTCATCATGTCAAAAATTTTATATATTTTCATGGAACGTGTACAGTTATTATAAATTTTTATATATTTTATACACGTTAAGCTTATGAAAGCTTTGTTTACGCTCAAGGGCAAATCACACAAGCAATAAACAATAATCAGTCACATTTACAATATGTTTACTGATTTACATTTACTACTAACAATTAGTTAATTATGGTTTAATTCATCTCATTATATCTTACCCTTTCTATTATGCCATTTTACAGGCGACATATTGTTTTCTTTATATGTATATAAATTTAGAGAATACAATATAATATATGTGTTGAAAGGCTTTCAACATTTTGATAATAAATACTCATATCTTTGGCATCGAAGTTGAAACCTCAAGAGATAATAACAAATTCCTTAACCACTAAAAAATTTATATCGTCATATTATTACATTGTTGATATTCTTTTAAATCTATCAATCCATTACTTAAAACATATTTATAACACAATCGTTAACCTTGCAATGCATTGTCATCATTCCATTCGTACATCAACAACATTAATAAATGAACACCATGAATGCATTTTACTTTAGATAAAGTAAAATTCAAACGTTTACGTTGGTATGTAAACAAAATTTCACTCACACTTTTATTAAATATACTTGTTTGCAATAATATAAAGAGAAAATCGCCTCAGTGACCAAAAAAAAGTTATAATATACGATTTTAACCAACTTTTTTTGGATTTGCCAAAATGACCAACAAAATCGCAACGCGAAATAAAAATCGCAACGCGATCCCCAGAATCGCAAATCAGTTTCCAGAATCGCAAATCAGTTTCCAAAATCGCAACGCGATTCTTGAAAATCGCGATGCGATAGTACAAATTCGCATTGCGATTTTCCATAATCGCAACGCGAATATGAAAATCGCAACGCGAACACATAAATCGCAACGCGTATCCGTAAATCGCAACGTGTATCCGTAAATCGCAACGCGTATGGGTAAATCGCAATGCGTATCCGTATATCGCAACGCGTATCCGTAAATCGCAACGATAATACATAAAATCGCAACGCGTATCCGTAAATCGCAACGCGATATTTAAAGCGCCATTATAATCGCTACGCGTATTTTATTTTCAAATTACAAAAAGAATATTAAGACAAAATCCCGTAATCGCAACTCATAACCTAAAACCTAAAATCACAACTCAGTCCCATCTCCATCTCTCACTCTCTACGGCGAAGAAATCCGTCCCCATCTCCGAAGATTTCCGTCCCCATCTCCGGCGAAATCCCTCACAACCATTCACGGTTAGAAATCCCTCACAATATTCAGAAATGGAAAATCAACCTCCGAGGGTTAGTTTTTTTAATTATTTTTATTTTGAAATGTTTGCATTATTGTAGGTTTTTCATATTGAAACTGATGATAAGTTTACTGGTCATTTCAATAATAGATTAACCATTTCACTTAGATTTCATTTCGCGTTACGATTCTGTCGTTGCGATTTTCATTTCGCGTTGCTATTCTCTCGTTGCGATTTTCAAGTTAGTATTTGTCTTTGTCTTTGTTCTGTCTTTTGGTTGAAGTAATGCAATCCATTCAAGTTTCAATTTGCAGAAGAGTCGCAACGAGATAAATGAAAATCGCAACGAGAGAATGACTGTCGCAACGAGAGAATCGCAACGCGAAATGAAAATCGCAACGAGAGAATCGCAACGCGAAACCAAAATCGCATTGCGATTTTCATTTCGCGTTGCGATTCTCTCGTTGCGATTTTCATTTCGCGTTGCGATTCTCTCGTTGCGATTGTCATCTCGCGTTGCGATTCTCTCGTTGCGATTTTCATTTCAACCAAAAGACAAAACAGTGTTGCGAATTTTAGTTTCAAGAATAAACTACTACTTTTTATGTTTATTGTTTTTGGTATATCTTCACAGTGTAGTTTTTGGTATATCTAACTTGGTATGTTTATTGTTTTTGTAGAAATTTTTTCGGCTCAATTGACCTTGAGAAATAAAGTCAGCCTGGCCACTACAATTGCAAAGAAGCTTTCACCTGCTCAAAGACAATTGTTTGAGGAAACCTGCTTCGGGCCATGGCTGAGAGTACAGCATCCGGGTGGAGATGCTAATTTGACCCATTTGTGGCTTCAGACCATGACATCAAATCTACCCGACAGTATACAACGTGGTGAGGAAGAGATATGGTTTCATTTTCCACCAGCGTATACTTGCTTTGGGCGGAAGGAGTTCTGCTTAATCACTGGTCTACGATTCGGACACGATGATGTAGGCCGGTACACTCGTCATATCGCCCGCCCATCATGGTTATCCCGGGTTTTTCCGGATGAGTCAATGGAGAAGCCGAACCTACATGTCGACGACCTGAAGAAATTATTTAATAAGAAAGCTGGTTTCACTCGGATGGAAGACGTCGATGTTGTCCGAGTATGCCTTCTACTACTTGTGTATGCCGGCTTTTTAGGCAGAGAGGCCAGACAACCTATTCATCGGGAGCTAATAATATTGGTAGAGGACCTGAATGCATGGAATCTGTTTCCGTGGGGTTCGTATATATGGAAAGCTACCTGGACTAAGTTGTCGTCTGCCTTTGATGACCGCAAAAGTTTGCGGGGCGATGGGTCCAAATACACTTTGTCAGGCTTTGTTTGGGCCTTTAAGGTAAGAATTTCTATATAATGTTTCTAAAATTATAATTAATTATTTAACAATTACTAATTTTGTTATTATATTGTTTGTAGATTTGGATATTCGAGGCTTTCCCCAGCATGCGTACATATGCAATAAAAACGTCAATGATATTCCCAGGGCTATTTCCTGGAAGAGGAAAACTCTGTTGGATTGGGAAGACTTAATACCATATGCCACAATAAATAATGTAAGTTAACACAAATACTTTCATATAATATATAAACAAGTTATTAATAGTAGACGTTTAACTTTGTTTGAGTTTTTATATTTTAGGAGGCCAACATTCCATTACAAAGACTGACACCCACGGAGGAAGAGCTTGCCACTGATTGGTGGCAAGCTAGTCAGAATTTTTTTGATGGCACGGATGATGAGCAGCATCCACTTCCTCCAATTCGAGAGCCATCACCTCACCTAGAGCCATCACCCGATCGACCCGACTATACATCTCTAGAACGAGAGCCATCACCTATCCCGTCACATCATCGAGCCTCTTCTCCACCATCACCTCATGATAGGCGACCGGCAAAGATGCCACGACTCCTATCTCCCTGTTCTCCACCTCCACCTCAACGGGATGAGTCAAGGGAGTTACGTGATGAGGTCAATGCCTTGCGTGAGGAGATCGGTACTCTACGCGATAACGATGGTGCATGGCGTGTGGAGGTGTCAACTTTACGTGGTGAGGTTGCCGCTCTACGTGAGATGATAGTATCGTTGCAGAATGAGGTTCATACTCTACGCAACGAGGTAAGTTTAAGATTTTCCATATTTAACTTAATGATAAATTTACTCGTAATTTCACTTAGATTAGCCATTTCACTTAGATTGCTTAGTAAATTTATTCGGTTGCTGCCAATTCTGCTAAACTGTGTATTCTTTAACACTGTGAAATAGTATTTGTCTTTGTTTTGTCTTTTGGTTGAAAGTAAATTTGTTCGGTTGCTGCCAATTCTGCTAAACTGTATATTCTTTAACACTGTGAAATATATTTGTCTTTGTTTTGTCTTTTGGTTGAAAGTAAATTTGTTCGGTTGCTGCCAATTCTGCTAAACTGTGTATTCTTTAACACTGTGAAATATATTTGTCTTTGTTTTGTCTTTTGGTTGAAAGTAAATTTGTTCGGTTGCTGCCAATTCTGCTAAACTGTGTATTCTTTAACACTGTGAAATAGTATTTGTCTTTGTTTTGTCTTTTGGTTGAAAGTAAATTTATCCATTCAAGTTTCAATTTGCAGAAGAAGAAATAGTTTACTTTCGCAACACGAAACTTAAAATCGCAACGCGAAACCAAAATCGCAACGCGAAATGAAAATCGCAACGACAGAATCGCAACGCGAAACCAAAATCGCAACGACAAGATCGCAACGCGAAACCAAAATCGCATTGCGATTTTCATTTCGCGTTGCGATTCTTTCGTTGCGATTTTCATTTCGCATTGCGATTCTGTCGTTGCGATTTTCATTTCGCGTTGCGATTTTGGTTTCGCGTTGCGATTTTAAGTTTCGTGTTGCGAAAGTAAACTATTTCTTCTTCTGCAAATTGAAACTTGAATGGATTGCATTACTTCAACCAATAGACAAAACAAAGACAAATACTAACTTCAGGGTATTAGTTTGAAACATATTTTTCTTTGTTATCTGATGCATTTTGTGAACTATGATAGAATAATGACTTGGGTGAATACAATGCAAGTTTGAAACATATTTGTCTTTGTTTTCACTGTTTAAATATCATGTCTGTTTATTTACTGATTTTTGTATTTAATTATTTAGCGGCCCGATAGAGTGGATGCTTTACGTCGGGTTATGCTTGCACGACGGAGTTCACGCATCAGACAGCGTGCACGTGCTATTAAGTCTCCGTACACCCCAATAGTGCGAAGACACCGCAAGAAGAAGCCCGACTCGCCTGTCATCCCTCAAGAGTCCACTCCTATCGTTGAAGAGGCCCCCCATATCATTCCTCGAGAGTCCCCTCCCACCGTTCAAGAGGCCACTGTCATCATTGAAGAGGTCCCTCCCACCATTCAAGAGCCCGATTCACATGGCGTCATATGTAGGCTTCTTGAGAAACCCTC